GAGTGGGGTGAGCTGAATCAGAGCAGGCTGTGATGGGTAGCTCTGGGCTCTTCTGGGGCTCTCAAATCTCCTTCTTTCTTTCTTTCTTTGGCTCTGCAGATTCCTGCACCCAAGGATGGCAGGTATGTGCCCTGGTTTTCCTTCTCAGGCTTGAAGCTCTGTCTGTCTTTAGCCTTTCCTTTTTCCTCACTTCTAGACATGCTGAATACCCCTTTTTAACCCTTTCAGGTGGAGGAGATCTACAAGAATCATGCTGATATTGGTCCTTACCACAAAGAGACAGTGATCACTGCCTTCAGGTGAGTGTTAGGCACTGCCTGAGTCCCATCCAGGATGCTGGGATATCACACCAGCCATTTACCCTCCTTCCTGGGATGCTGGGATGGAAGCACCCCAGTAGTCGCCCTGAGTGACGCAGGAAACGATGAGCAGTAAGAAGTGATCTGGAAATGCATTTTGTTTTCTGCCAGATGTCTTGGGAAAACCAAGGTGTGGTGCAGTGAACTGCAGTGGGTGGTGCCTGGCAGCATTGAGAGAGACTCCCTGGGCTGACAGGAGACTCTGCTGTTTGCTTAACTTGTCATTGAAACTCTCCCTTCCCTGTGGCCAGGCTCCAAAAATGGCTCATGAAGTAGTCGTCTTCTAGTGGTGTTTGAGTCCTCCCATGTCTGTCCTTGCCCTCACTCCATAATTGCCCTTTCCACAGTGAAGGCAGTGTCATTGCCTACTACTGGTCAGAATTCCTTGTGCCCAAGTACCGGGAAGAGAGCCTGGACAGGGCGATGGCTGACAAGCAGAGCCTGGTGCAGAGGTGGAACCCCCGCCTGAGAAACCCCATGCTGAAGGTGGAGTCAGTCATCGCTTTCCGTGAGTGTTGGTTCTGCTGTCCGTGGGCCTCTGCGTGGGACCAGGTGGGGTATTTCCCTGGAAGGAGAAGGTGCTGGTAACAGCCCTCCCTTGGGAAAGCCAGCCCTGAGGGTGGTGTAAGGACCTGGATGTCACAGCACAGCTTAATGGGATGTACAGCCTGAAGGGGGCTGCACGGACCTGCTCCCCTTTGCTGGAGCGCTCTGTGTTCTCCTCTGAGCCCAGAAAAGAGGAACAGGGATGAGTTCTCCCTCTGCAGAAGAAAAGTTTGCTCCCTCAGCTCCAGAGGCAGGCAGGAGCAGCCTCCCCTGCCAGTTGGCAGGAGGAGACTCCACAAGCAAGGCCAGGTCAATGACGATCTGAGGAACAACCCCAGCTTTGTACTCAGGGATTTCACATAGCCCAAAGGATGATGCCAGCTCTCTTTTCTCCTGCAGCTGTGGACCCCAGCATAGCTCACTCTGCCCGGGACAGTAAGTACAGTT